GACTCTAACATTTTTCTCAAAGAAATTCTCAGCCAAATTGAAATACTTTGCCCTCCTCAAAAAGGACTTGCATGCACAATCAAGTCGAACATTTGAAGTATAGTAGGTAGGAGAGTTGTAGAGCCCTCATGGTATTTCTCTCTTCCTCCCTCGCTATCGCCTCGGCCTCGCAATAATAGGTATGCCTCTCCATATCTCCCATGGGAGCTCAGTTCTAAACTTTCCCATCTCCCGCTGACCACCCTGAACTTGGATTATGCCTTCCCATTTTGGCTGACGTACCAACGACGGATAGAATGTGCGCCTCGCGGTGAATGCACTAATATCAAGTGTATTAAATTTCGTGGACTGGGTGAACAGGCTGTAGCCGTTTATACAACACGTTAATCTAGACATTCATTCTTGTTCAGGTGTCTATCGCGATAGCTAGGCTTATGTATGTGGGTATACAAGTCTTGAGAAAAACAGCTTTATCAAGGTTTATCAACGCCTTACAGGAGCGCTTAATAATGGGAAAGCAGGCTCATGTGCTATTTATGCATTATGAAACACATACATATATATACATCTATGTCCTTGTATATACTCGTATAAATGTCTAAATTCGTCGTATTCGAGACAGGAATCTTCTGTTCCCTCCCCGCTAGGCTGTATTAAGTCTGCTAACAATAGGGCCTGAGTTGTATGCCGCTCTTCTCTCTGCTTTTGGGTCCAACCCTGACAACACACCTGGTCACGCTTATCTCCTACCGCTCCCACCAACTCAGCCCCACCGTATGGGCCCTCGGCTTACAATTCACGCCTCCACCCTGTCAGCTCATCTGCCCTCCGTTCCAGAACGTGAATACGAGGCTGAGAGATGTGAGGTGGAACTGGACCAGAAGACATGAACAATGAGCCCTGCCCTACCAGCCCGTCGACCAGACGAGGTTTCCTCCGAACCTGGGATTAACAAGCCGAGGGGAGGATGGGTGCAGTTGTGTTTTGGTCTCTGTTTATAAATGTGCTTGCGCGCCAGAGCATGTGCCATCAAAGAAGGATAGAGAGAGAGCGAAACTTGACCGGATTGGCTTGGCTCTCCTAAGGGAGTATGTGTATTGGAGTGCCAGTAGGTCTAGACATTTCTGGGTCTACCTTGTGCGCGTGTATCCGTGACTGTGATTTCTCGATTGTGTGCATGTGCAAATTTGTGTGTGGGTAAATGTGTGTATGTTCTTGCTTTCCTGAGCAAGCTTATACATATGTGGGCTTGTATATGCATATGTGAGTTCTGAAGAGTCTGAGAATCTGGGAAACACAGTGACGAGCAAGCGTCGGGCAGCGAAGGGGAGAAAAAGACGAGTAGGTTGCCTAAAAAAGGTAAAATGGGCCTGGGGATAAGCCCAGGAAAGCATAATGAGACTACTTTTGCAATGCATGTCAGTTTCTGCTTCTTAGGGCGCTTGCAAGCCAGCCGTACCGAGTTCAAGTACTCCAAGAGAGATTGACAATTTGGCGCTAGCGACAGGTAAACATGTATTATTATACTTATTGTCAACTGCTTATATTCCCACCAATTCAGCTCACCATCAGACTTCCGTCACGAATTATGACATGGCTTGGAGCAATGCTGACAAGTAGGCACAATGAATGATTTCCAAATGGACATACGACAGGAAGAAGTATAAAGACACAATTATTCTACAAATGTCCTGGTTCTGTTCGGCTCTGGTTCGCCTGGGATGGAAGATCGAGGAACACCAGCCATTCAGAAGCTGACCTAGGGCACCAGTAACAAGCTCGTTTTGAATTGATGGATTATGCGAAGAAGTCCCTGGCTCATCATCCGCAAATTCGATGGATACCCTCTCCCTGTCCGTGTTTGTCATGGAACGTATGTAGTAAGAACAAAAAATCATGCTTTATGAATAGCCCCACCAATACACTAGACCAAGCTAAAAGGAGTCAACTACAAATCAACTCATTTCTTATATAATTTTTATATCTTCACGAGATCTTCTATGATTTGGTTGGTGACTTCATATTAATCATACTTGCTTGAGGAAGGTTTAAGATTCTAGAAAATAAACCATAAACCAACGTACGATCCTCTAATGTTGACACGTGTTTAGGCCTTTGGTTTTGCATATAGTATATATGCCGTGCTCAAGTTATGTGGGGTATGATAACCCTTACTAGATTTGAGTCTGTTCCTCTTGCTCGGCAGTTCTTCCTGCTCATTCTCACTCTCTACCTCTAAGCCCATCCTAAAGATACCATTATTATTATTATTATTTCTCCATTTCAGGTTGTCATCAGTTCTGCCATCTATTACGCTTGGAAAGGAAGTCTCCGTAGCCTGCTAAACGCTATGTCTAGGACAATTACTCACAGGAACATCCATAAATTGGACCCTATCCTTATTTTTTAACTCCACAATACATTTAGCAATCCCAAAGAGTTCTTCCATTCTACTTTTATCCTAGCAAGAACATTGGAGACGTAGGCACCTTTTGAACCAATCGAATCTACAATAGAGCCATCCAGTTATTAGCCCAAAACTCCCAAGCCTAAACCTCGTGTTTGCACATATAACTTACTAATAAAATTAAAATATGTACATTGAAGATATGAAGACCAAGATGTTGTGGCCTCTGGTATGGTCGCAGTCTCCTTTCGATTTATTGAAA